TACGGGGAGGGTGCGCCAACCAACCGAACCACCTGGCAAAAGCCACCGACTTGACATTCTTAATCATTGTTTAAATAAGGGGCCTTGCATTTTCATTTTTGCCCCAGGTCCCAGAAATTCCGTGGCCATTCCTGACTGTAGGATTAACTTTTTTGTTGAAGTGCAGTCATTTTGAGAATCTCTATTCTATTCGCCAGATGGACAGTCTATTTCCAAAGGGAAGAGTAAAGAGATTGTAAGAGATTATATCACCACTGTGTATTCTGTTCTCCGTCACTTTCCTGCTCAATACGAGGTAAAGAAAAGGACAGAGATACACTTCAGTTATCATCAAGAAGCAAACCCTGGTACAGTTGGCAAATGTTCATCTTTTATATATTTGGTCTTGGCATCTATGTGTTTAAATAATCACTATTTTTGAAAGGATTTTAGGAGGGGTTGCTAAGGTAAATTCCTAAGCGGGCTTTCTGCTAGTCCGTACAAATGCTCGCTCTCAGCATACGTGCCCACGCACCCACGCTGCAGGCGGGTTTGCAGCTGCCCGCACGTCACAGTCAGGCCTTGAGTCATTCGAGTTTCTAAAAGTTGAGAGGCTTTTCTTCGTTTATGCGTTCATTGAATATGTTCGACAAACTATAAACAATGTATTCTTTATGCCTTTGGCTATAAAACTATAGTAGTAATACAACGATATCCAGCTCTATGTATTTTACGAGGTAATAATTTAAAGTTGCATAATCCTGTGAACGATTACAGTAAATTGTGTAAGTTATTTCCCTTCTTGCTTTGGCTGGGTAAGGAAACTCGTTATTACCTTGATAATACAAAGTGGATTAGTTGCCTTGCTGTTACTAAGTATTGTTTGCTACCTTTGTTAATTTTTGCTCAATCATTTTACTTTTCAGGGGATTTTTAAGCTATGAGCAAAAAGCCTATGGGAAACTCAGTGTAAAAGTTCATCTTTTTGAGGGGAATAGAAATTCTCAAAGGAGACTTAACTTCTATGTTGTTGTCTTGTGGCTTTTTTTTGCTGAAATCGTTCACTGAAATTCAATGACAGCCACAAAGCTGCTTTGGGTGTGTGGTCCCCTCCCCCAATCTCACAGCAGCCGTTTGATTCTTCTGTGCAGGTTTATGGCACTTTGTCTTTAACCTCGTAAGTCACTGTCACTGTGTTGTGGTGTGGACGTGCCTCATCCCCCGCCTCCCACTGGAGAGTAGGCCTGGCCTCTGGTACAGAGTGCCCTGACCATGGACATCAGAAGAGGTGACAAGGGCGCAGCCGCCTCCATAGGCAAAGGGGCACATGGTCCGATTTGAGATACGTTGGAAGCAAAGATAACACCATTTCCTGGTTGAGTAGCTGTGGAGGATGAGAAAATGGGAGGCGACCAAAGCACCTCCAGCTTTTAACTTTGGCCTGAACAGTCAAGAAGGACTGGGTCGCCATATTATGAGCCTAGGGAGAAAATCCAGAACTCAGTGTGGGATGCTGATACACCTTTTAAACATTCAAGTCCAGAGGCCAGGTAGGCAATTGACTGTGTGAACAGGGAGTCAGAAGATGGGTTTCATCCGTAGCTGTATTGTTCAGTATGGTAGCCACTACCCATGCAAGGAGGAGTTTACGTCTTAAGGAATTAAAATGTGAAGTGTTGCTCTTCAGTCACACTAGTATAGGCTTGTGGCTCCTGTGTGGAACAACACAGCATGTTATCACCATTGCAGAAAGTTCTATCGGAAAGCACTGGTGCAGTGTTACAGATGTGGGTGGTCAACAAGGTGATTGGATTTAAATCCACAGGCCAAGTGCAATCACCTAGAGAGGTGAGTATAGAAAAGAGCAGGGTCAAGAGGCTGGAGATCACTTTGATACTGAATAGCTAGGAGATAAGAGGGATTCAGCAAGAGAGACTAGAAATGAAGTCAGTGCGTCAGGAAAAGAACTGAGAAAATGGGCTTCTGGTGACCAAGGAAGGAGGAAGCGATCGACTGTGTCCAACACTGCCGGTTGGTTGAGTAAGACAAGGCCATTCACCTATTGAACATCACCAGGTGTTCTTGAAGCAGCCCTTTCAGTGACGTGGTGGGGAGAAGCATTGTGGGCTGATGAGGAATGATATGGAGACGACGTGGAGGAAAGGCAGCTCTTGTAGGAATGTTTGCTATAAAGGGAAAAAGGTGGGACGAGAGCTGCAGGGATAAATGGAGATAAATTTTTTCTTAAGATGAGAACTATAATAGCACATTTGGATACGTGAAGGGAATGGTCCAATCAATAGGATAGTTTAAGGCTCGAGAAAGGGAGGGCGTCCTGGAGCAGGCAACGGAAGGTGGAGTCCGGGGCATGAGGACAACCTGGACTGACCGCAGAGTCAGGACAGGGCATCCTGGGTAACCGGAGACGGACAGATGCAGGAACAGGTTGGACGTGGGGAGAACGTCTAAGTTATTTTATTAACAGTAAGATATTTTGGTGGTTTTTTATAGTTGGCTTTACTGGATACCTGGGGAACTGTGACATCTTGATGGTTCTGTTTGTTCAATAGTGATGGCACTTTGATCATCACAATCTAATTTTTTTCTTCGATGCATCCTGCTATTCACAGCAACATTTAAAAACATTTTACAGTGAACCACATGCCACGTATGGCTTAAGTTCTACAATTGGTCTAAAAGATGAAAGCAGAATGTATTTAAATGCCCTTTGAAGATGTATTAAACCACTGTTAAATCACCAGAATATAAGTCTTTAACATCCCCAAAGCAAGAACTAATGTTTCATTTTCTTTGCATTTCCATCAGGGATCACTTTCCCCTACAGCAGGAGAAGTCAGGATCTAGTTTGAATGGGGGAAATGGGTGGTCCTAGGAAGAGGAGATAAGTGAGTGGATGTCTGTATCACACTTGCACTTGAACATCCCTTCCTTATATGTGTGTGATGTAACTCCACTGCATTGCAGTGCCACCCTGCCTCATGAGCCTTAGCTCACTCCAACTCCTATGCAGTTCGTTTGTATTTAACTATGTGTATGTGTGGTGCGTGAACTGCAATATCTTCTGGTCTACAAGATTTCTGCATTCCTACTACATAAAGAAAATAGCAACCCAAAGTGTTGCGTTGGAGATACTGCTTGAACTGAAGGAGAAATTCAGTTGAGAAATCAGTGATCGTCAAGATTCTTCTGGATGTAAAAATTCCCTCAAAAGTCTAGTTTGTTTGGGGAAAAATTTCTAAAGTATCTGTTTACTTAACAGCACACAAAGACATTTACAGAAACACTGCAACACTCTGAAATAAGGCCCTGGCTGGTGTGGCTCAGTGGATTGAGCACGGGCCTGTGAACCAAAGGGTCTCTGGTTTGATTCCCAGTCAGGGCACATGTCTGGGTTGCAGGCCAGGTCCTCAGTAGGGGGCACATGAGAAGCAACCACACTGACGTTTCTCTCTCTCTCTTTCTCCCTTCCTACCCCTCTCTAAAAAAAGTATATAAATAAAATCTTTCAAAAAAAATCTCAAGGATCAAATAAGGAAAGAATGCTATTTATTCAAAATGTATGAAATGTTTAGCATAATTAAACACATGGTTCTAAGGACAGTTGTATGATTTAGCTGCAAAAATAAAAGCAAAGACTGAATAGATCCTCAGAATGAAACAGCTCCTTAGGACCTCAAGTTTAAGAAGGTTTTTATTGGTGAGAATTTGGCATTTTTCTCTCTCAGTGGCGATACCTGTTTGCTGTTTTTATTTTGTGTGTTCGATGGGGGTCGGGGAGCAAAGACCCATCTGTGAACATTCGGTTGTTTCTGGGAGGCCCCAAGATTTGTTTTGTCATGTTTTTATTAAACAAGTGATGTCCACACTATGGAGTGTTCCAAGTAGGCCTTTATATTCCTGGGCATATTTAGGCTAGCGGCGAAGCGGAAGGCATTCAGTAGCATCCTCAGGAGTGGGCCGGTATGACAGAGGTCCTTGAACAGCCACCACCCCCCAACTTTAATTGAGGTGGGATCCCACCAGACAGAGATAGAGCCAGAGGGTTCTATTTTTAAGTGGGAGTCTGCTTTGCTGGTTGAGCATAGATGCCCAGTTCTGGTGGTAAAGAATTTTCCGTAAGACTCTGGGGCAGAAACAAGCAGCTATTTATATTCATGCACTGAGCTCAAAAGGAGAGAGGAGAGGGGTAGTTAAGAAAAGAGAGAATCGGGAAGAGAGGTGTTTTTCCACACCCAAAACAAGGACATGTATTATGGTGTTGAAATGCATTTTGTTGGAGGTCTGAAGTTCTGCTTTAAGCTCATTCAATAGTCACCTGTGTGATCTTGTACAAGGTCTTCTCAGGTTTGGGTGTTTTTTTTTTTTTTTACCATGGAAATATAGTCAGCTATATTTTAAAGTGGTTGGAGGAATGTTTTGAGATAATGCTTAGCAAAAATTCATCAGGGTGCCAGGTGCCTAGAATGTGCCAGTAAATGGTTGCTCTCCTTTAGTAGTCAGATCTTATAGTAGTCAGGATCAGATTTATCCTAAGGCCTTGCCCTTTGTGTGTGTGTATAAAACCAACCCCTACTTCTGATCGTATTTATTTTTGTCTTAATCTGCTACTCACCCTGGTACACAGTGAATAGACACATTCTCTTTAGTTAAGAACTCCAATTGTAACCTTCTTTCCTTCAGTATAATGTAAAAAATGTTTGGTTTATTAATGCAATTCCTTTTTATTACACCTATGCCTCACATTAAGGGCTGTGGGCTTATGGCAAGTGTCAAGTCACGTTTCCCTGTGCAGCATTTATCTTCATCACAGATTCGATGATGTGGCAATGCACATTGCAAAGTTCCATGGGAAACTTTAAGTCAACAGGCTTGGGGACAGTGATGTGAACCAACTTTAAGGTCAAAGTGTCATGCAAATATCTTTAAAATGTGCAGCGAGCTCTCTGGAATTCCAGGGTCTGACCTGTATCTTGACCTCTGATGTGTCTTATGCTGTGCAGGTTCTGATGCAAGGCAAAAACCCGGGGATAGCTTGGAAGTACGCCCTGCCCAAGGCCGTGAATGGGACGCAGCCGGCCACGAAAAGACACGCCCACGCCTGGAGCACAGTGCGGTCCGCGTGCTCTGCCTCCTGCGGGGGAGGTGCGCTCATTTCTTTACTCCATCCTCCAAGTCTCTTCTCAAAACAGGTTCTTTCGCCCCAGGACTCTTTAAACTGTATGGTTTGAATAAGCAACAAAAGAACTGTCTCTTATGGGAACCATCACTCTGAAAAGCAAATATTATTGCACTACTTGAGGATTTTCCTATGTAGCAAGGAAGCGATTCTCACAAAACTCAAGTCAGCCACAACCAGGACTCAAAGTCACACATCAGAACCTTCTGGGGGAAATACACAGGGTGCAGCAGAAGTAAGGCCTGCTTGAGTGTGGTTGGTAGGGTAATAATGTGGGTGTAATAATTTATAGTCATAACTTGAACGTTTCACCTAAAATGGCATGTGGTGTGCTTAAGTGTGATATTGCTAGGTTACAGAATTACATGCATATGATTTTGTATTAAAAGATTTTATAATAAAATACGGGGCATCACTTCTGCTGGACCCTGTAAAAAGTCTATAAATATAAGAATATCTACATATATATTTGTATATTTTAAAAAATGTTGCAGCTCACAGTTTAGTTTCCCCATGCCTTGACTTCTCTGTTGTTGCAAACCGCCCGCTGGGACTTAGAGAAGGCAGGGCCATGACAAGGGAGAATGCACGCAATGCAGACGTCAGACGGCTCTGGTAGGTGGGCACAGTGCCCCGCCATCTCCTCAGGGGTGAGGTCAGCATTCCTCCGAAGGGAAATGGATTAACTGTAAGAAATAACCCTGTGAAATAACCCTTGTAAGGAAAAACACCAGTCATCCTCTCGGCAGGTAGAGGCTGACATTTTATCAAGATCCGAAAACATCACACATTTGCTTGTTAGGCAAATTTTGTCATGCTTGGGAAGAGGAACAAAAGTCTCTTAAAGAGGCCCATGAAAATAAAGCACGAAGGTTGGTCACTCCTGTCCTCATGTCCAGAGCACCTGGTGACATTGGGTCCCCTAACTCTCTCCATCCCACTTAGACATCTCTGTCTCTCTTGGAGCCAGAGACAGAGCAGGAGTATAGAAAATGAAGAAATTCTTATGTCTGTAAGGCCTGTTCTAACAAAATATGAGGAAATACTTCATTTTAAAACCTTACATAATTTAAAAGTAATACAATTAGCAATAAACATTTTAAAGGCAATATGCTAAAAGAAGAAAAATAATCTCCCATAATCCCTTAATCATCACTGGCCAATGTGAAATACTTTGTATCATTATATTATGCAAACAAAAAATGCATGTGTTTGACCTACTTGGACACATGCATCGGTATCATCCTGTTTTCCTTACAGAACAGATACCATGCTACAGACCCATGGTTTCCAGCCTGTGTCATATCCCGGCAAACACTAAATGAATTACTCAAATTCTGTGGCACATCGAAAAATATACTGTTTTGCTATTCTGACAAAAAAAAAAATAGGTACGTTCTAAAACGTACCTGTTTCACTCACACCAGACAGCTGTTGTTCTGTTGGCTGTTGTCTTTTTATTTGACAATCTAAGGGAAGGAGGTCAGTACCCTGATTAAATAGTCTAGTGTTGCATGTTTTAAAAAAAATTTGTAGCACACTGGTTGGAAATCATTGCTACAGACATATCTTTATGCTTTTTTACTGAATTTTGGAGCACAGCAGTTTTTCCCATATCAGGGGTTCTTTCAGATCATTTGCAGTAACTCCCTGGTGTTCCAGAGAGAGAGCACAGGTCCTTGGGAAGGAGATTCAATCATTTTCCATTTATAGGGAATGAATCCAGCCAAAGGGAGGATGCTGGAGAAGTGCATTGTGGGATTCCCTCTTACCTCAACTTAGTAATCCAGTCACATGACTCACAGGTCACATTGTGTCCAAGGCATGTGAGAAGAAGTGAGTAAGTTCTCTGGCAGTAAACTCTTAACATTAGGGAATCCCTGTGTGGTTTTGTTAGGTGCCTCCTGAAGGCAAGTCCACTTCAACCTACCTGTAATAGCAGAGGTGACTTTTCATTGCTTCTCAGATTGATTTTAAGGAAAAGTGCCATGTAAGTATAAACAATTCAGAGAGGAGGTAGAATTCCTATTCAGGGAATTGACAGACAGCTGCTCACAAAATTCATGTCTCTGATGAGAAGTCCTGAAATGACATTGCAAGTGAGGTGTGGGATGTTGCTAACACAGACAGAAAGCCAGAATCCTAGCTGACAGGTACAAATACGTACGTGTTCAGTGAGCTCCTCTCTCCGTTTATTTATGCACCATACTCTTATGGAAGTAGAGGATGCTTCATGGAAAGGCAGAATGTCACAGCTTCTGCGCATGATTCACCGATGGTTTTTCTTTGAAGAATTCTTTCCACTGGATGTGTGCAGTGTGAGTTAAAGTCGATGGGATGTTCCCCGTACAGCTACCCTGTGCTCAAAAGCCTGTATGTGTCTCTGTGTGGCTCTAGAGCCCACGGCAGTCTCGACAATGAAGAAGCTACATGTGAAAATTATTAAGATGTGAGAACACATGCTGTTATCTTGGGGGGGAAATAGGATCAAATGAGTTGCAGATTTTATCAAAAGGAGGCCTTCTCACACAGTAATTGGATTCCGTAGCTTAAACGAGGTATCAGAACCCGGGTAAGTCAGAAGCTAAATTTGGAAACGAAATTGGATTGGTTACCGGTAATTTTTAGTTTGTGACTTTTAATGTCTTATTAGGTTACATAAGTGTAAAGGCCATTTGCTTACGAGATCAAAATACTCAAGTCAATTCCTCATTCTGCAATGCAAGAACCAAGCCAGCAACTGAACCCAAAGTATGCAATGCCTTCTCCTGCCCTGCCTAGTAAGTCATCTGGAAATGTCTTTCTGGTTATATTTGTACTTTATGTGCCTGTATTGTTGGTATGAGATCATTAAAGCCCGTAAGGTCAATGCTTCTGATCAAAAGTGCTGTTTAAGATAGATGGAATCCCCAGAAAGGTAACAAATGAAAGAAGGTAGTGGAGGTTCAAATATATAACTTGAAAAATGCAAATTTGCTTTAGACATTCATTTAACTCTGCCTGTGCAAACCTAACCTTGGGCTATAAAAGCGTGTTGTATTTTTTAACCTTTGCATAGACACTCCTCTTCTCTGCACTAGATTAAATAGATATTTAAATAACACAGATAACTATATTAGTTAAATTTCCATGTGGCTGTGTGTTTAACTTTTATATAGTTGTCCAAGAATTTAAAAATCGGACCATGAAACCCCAAACAGAAATTGCACAGTAGCAAGACGCGGATTAGAAAGACGGGGTGAGAGGCCCAGTGGTAATCCGCTTCTGATGGTGGGGACCTATGGGGAGCTCTGTGGGTTTGTTTTGGGATGGATTTTAGCCACAGTATTGTTTGAACAATAATTTTAAGTAATCTTCCCAGCCATATGGAGTCTTTTCTTGCACGACTTATCTCCTGCCAAATGTATTTATATAGAATTGACAGAGTTTTTTTCAAAAGCAACATTTGTTCACTAATGTTTCAGGCCATCTTAATAAGCAGTGTTTGCTTTGTGGTAAGGCAGTGATATCACACAGTCTTTTTGTACACACACATGTATTTTGTCCTTATAAATAGGGCATTCGCCATAATTGTCTGGGGCTGTGGCTACCCACCAATCCCACATGCCCACTGTCAGCCCAGTCCTTCTCTTAGAGTCTGGAACCAGCTATATCCTAAACAGAAGAAAGAGCGAGAGATTTGGGGGGCTTTCATGAAATTTCCCCTTTCCTAAGAAACCCCTGTTCTAAGGAACACACATCTCCATGACGTGGCTACCAGACAGCTGTTGGTTGTTGTAGAGTGGTTTTTCCTGTAGGTGGTAGGGGTATGTGTGCGCATGTAGGAATTGTACGCTTGAATGGCAAGCCAGGGTTTTATTTCAGACCTCCTCCTCGTTGTCACGGGTTATCTCAACCAGCCACAGAAAGGGCCCACTTACCTACGTGCACGAAAAGGGAGAGAGCCGCGGTCTTGTCCAGCCCCTAGGACTTGCCGGGACCTCCACGTAGAAATAGCCCCCTGGGCAGTAACAGGTTCACTGGCTATTTAAAAGCAGACGTGCCCCTCGCCATGACTGCCAAGTCACAATGGTGAAAGGCAGGGTCTTTCGTTGTCTTCTTCCTTCGTCACCCTGTTACTTACATCTCATTACTTTCTCTCGGAATCACGGGGACCCTCAGGGATATTCTTCCCTAGGGAGATCCCAGAACTAAAGTTTAGACTCAGACTGTTGGAGCTGGAAGGACAGAGAAAGGAATCTGAGCCAGCTCCCCTATCTTCCCACGTAGCCATTACGCCATGAGTGGGCCTCACTGTGAGCCGGCTTTGAGCCGAGCACTGGGATATGGAAATGAGTAGCTTGTGGCTGGTGCCGTCAGTGAACCTACAACAAGATGGAACAGGTGGATGCGTAAAGAAGTCACGGAGATGCAGTGAGAGACACACTGTACAAGAAGGTCACATAAAAGATCAGTGAGTGGGAAATGAACACTGTAGGGGTCTGTGCTGTGAGGAAGGTCACAGGGAAGGAGGCCAGGTGTGGGGACCGTGCCTGCCATGCACCAAGTTCATGTGTGTTACCCTTTTCCTGCTACTTCTACAGTCATCATCTTAGCCATGTAAAGGAAGGAAACTTGAATAGGAAAGAAACTTGGTAGACAAAATGCCATTTTTATAGAAGTGTTAAAGCTGATTTCATAATGTTTTCTTTTTGTCTTATTATAAAATCAAATAATCATACAAATATAGGAAATGCTTTACTTGACATGATCTTTCTTTAGGTAAGTTAATGTGGATTATGCGGTGGTTTTGAACACACATAATCCTAAATCCACATGCTAAGTTATCCAGACTAAAGGTCTTTAATTTCACACATCAGGCTTGTGCAGAAACCAGAGAAAAAATTTATAGGACTAGGGAAGGTGGGAGAAATGCAAAGATATAATAGCATATTTGTGACATTTTATTTCTTAAAATGATCCTGAGAATATTGGTAGATCAAAGCTGAGTTTTAGACATTTCTATGGCTCCAATGATTAATGATCACATCTCATAGGTCTTTTTAATGCTAGGTCTTCAAATCATAGAATTTCAATTAATCAGAGTAGTTATTGAAAAGGATTAATAGTTTCAGTCAATTAGCCTTCAACTAGAATCCAAGGCTCAGACTGCTGTAGAAAAAGGTGGTCCAGCGATTTTTAAGAACAAAAGGTTACATCTCTAACTCATCAGTAAATTTTAAGACTAACCAGACAACTAGGTAGCAGAATTGCCTGCTTAGAAATGTCCTCTGTGAGACCTTCCCTGAGTGCACCCCTCCACCCTACACACATGCGCACACTGTGTCCCCCCGCCCCCCATGGATTGCACCTCCACGAACCTCACTGTTGCAGTTTGTATTAACTAAGATTGTGGCGATCACCAGGAAGTGTCATGTTTATCTGTTCGTGTATCTGCCTCGTCCGTGTGTGGTAGGCTCCTTAATGGAAAGAACGTTGCCTCGTTCCTTTTTCCTACCCTGATGCCGAGGAGAGTACCTGGCGCAAAGCTAGGATCCCAAGAAGTTTGGCTGAATGAGTGGATGGCTCAGATTTCCAAGTGGCACACGTTTCTTCCCCAGGAAGGGCAGGAATGTGTTTTTCCCCAGAACTTTGGTGACTAACTGTGACACCCTATGGCTGGGCCGCATTAGTGAGAGCTTCAAAATCTGCAAAAGAAGAATTTGTAGGAATCTCCCTAATTAGTCCTAAAATTGACCTAAGGCTTTCGTCAGGTGGTAACTGCTTTGGAAGGTACGAGCCCGAGTCTGAGCTTCACTGGAGTGACTTTGCTTTTCCCTGGCAGCTGGAAGCCGGGCGAGTGGAGTGTGTGCAGCCGGCCGTGTGCAGGGGGCCAGCAGAGCCGGAAAATCCAGTGTGTCCAGAAGCAGCCCTTCCTGAAGGAGGCGGCCGTGCTGCACTCGCTCTGCCCGGTGAGCACGCCCACCCAAGTGCAAGCCTGCAACAGCCACGCCTGCCCCCCAGAGTGGGTCTCCGGGCCCTGGTCCCAGGTAACTGCGAGTTGTGGGTCTTGTTCCTCGTGGGAAATGACAGCAACAAAGATACAGGTGGCATCTCTGCTTCCCAAGAGGCTGTCAGCTGGTCTCACGCCATCCTGAGGGCCAGTGTCATTAACGCTTTCAGTGATTCTCACACAACCTGCCGTTTGGGAATCCTTAGAAGTGCAGAAATTAGAGCAGAGCCTGGGGACCGTGTAGGCTGGACGGGTATAGTAGCAAGACAGCATTCGAGCGCTAGAGCACTGGCCGGCGGGACCGGCGACTGAATTCGCCAAAGCAAACGGAAAAGGCAAATACAAAGGGTGAGGCATAAAAAGGAGATTTAACTGTTGGTTCAATGAAGGGGAGGTTTGAAAGAATACAGAGGAGTTGGGTCTAAAGTTTGCTTTTGTCACCAACTCCCAGTGAAATGTAAAGTTGTAAAGCTGGAAGAAGCATAGAACTACCTGTCATTTATGACTCAGAGGTTCTCAAAGGAGGGGGTAAGTCTGCCCCCAGGGGCACTGGGCAATGCCAGGAGACCTGTTTGATTGGCACAGCGAGCAGGGGGTGGGTACCGTTGGGGAGGGAAACATCCCACAATGGACTGGACTGCTCGCCAGCATGAGAATGACCTGGTCCGAATGGTGCCGAGGGTGAGACCTCTGCTCTGTAACTGCCCAGCCTCTGCTGAACCACCGATGGTGAGACAATTTGGGGGAATAATACAATTTCAGGGGTTGTATCACCTGAACCACGAGGCCCTCCTTCGGGGTGCCTGCTGGCACAGAGGGCGTTTCTGTGGGGTTCAGTTTAACGGGGCACTGCCATGTCCCAAACAGAGGTCAGGACAAGGTTCTGCTCTGCTTTTTTAATGATGGAACGTTATGAAAAATGTTTTTTTCTGTTAGGAGTGTATCTGTTAGGGGAGTAAGGAGCTGGCGGTGGGAGGAACATCTCCGAGCTCGCTTCCGTGTCCTTTAAAATGAGGGCGTGTGTTCGCGTATCGCAGACAGCAAGTCCAAGTCGTGCGTGGCGTTGAGTGGGGTCTCTGGCTGCGACTAGGCGTTCTCATTTACCAAAGGAGAATGCAGAGGCCGTTCCAGCCGAATGTGCAGGGTGGGCGTGGCGAAAGGAGCTGGGGCCTGCGGAGCTTCAAGCAGGGAGTCCAGCGAGAGAAGGGGCCTTAGTGCACGGTGTTTACTCCAAATCTCACATGGAAATATTTCAAGGGAAAGAAATATTTTTCTTTCATCTTTTTTTGACTAAAAGTAACTGTGTCTGAGAACCTGAAAGTCATGCGAAACGAACGTGCCAACGGCGTTTTTTCCCCGTCTCCAGTGTTCCAAGACCTGTGGGCGAGGCGTGAGGAAACGGGCGGTGCTGTGCAGAGGCGCCTCCGCGGCCGAGGGCCTTCCGGACAGCCGCTGCGCCCACACCCCCAGGCCGGAGTCGCAGGAGGGCTGCGTCCTGGGTCGGTGCCCGAAGAACAGCCGGCTGCAGTGGGCCGCCTCCTCCTGGAGTGAGGTACGAGCCCCGATGTACTGCTAGGTGTGGCTGCCGCTGTTCATGCCCAGCTTCTGCACCAGATGCTCAGAGCTGCTTTCCGTTCAGCACACGTGCGCCAGGTACCTTCTGGTCTCTCCTCCTTCCTGCCTGCCTTCTTCATCAAAGATTGGTGAAGAGGCCATCACCATGATTGGGCAGTGGAGGCCAGAAACATGGGTTGGGGTGCGGAGTGCCGTGATGGGGTCTGTCACTCTGCCAGGCAATCGAGCTCCACCCAGCCCGACATCAGGAGGGATCCTTGTCAGAGGAGACTTTCCAGGGAGTGCAGGTCTGAAGGATGAGCAGGAATGGGGCAGAGGTGGGGCTGGGGAGAGCCTGTTCCTGTCCGAGGGGGGACACGATGCAGGGGACACGAGGGAACACACTGAGGAGGCATCAGGGGTGCGAGGGAGCTGCCAAGGTCATCAGGGGCAGAGTGGAAGGGCCTCAGGTGATGTATCCTAGAAATGTGCCCTATAGACAGACATTAGGGGCCAATGAACATGGAAGTGAAGGAGTGGAACAGGCAGGTTTCATGTCAGAGAGAAGGGGAGCGGGTGCAAAACAGGCAGAGGCGCCCACACAGCTATCACGGTATGTCAGACTGAAGATGAACGCGTGTGCAGGTGGAGAGAAGCAGCATCACCTTTGAGAGTCCCGGAAAGGCCCCTTGGTACCTTCGGGAATATGTGGGCAGGGCTGGAAGATGCCTCCTCGGTTCCGATGTGGGAAGCAGGGAAAAGGCAGCCGAGTCAGAATCGGACTCCATGACCCAGGAGGCGAGGTCTCTGCTCTTAAGGAGTTCATGGTCTGCTGAGGAAGACAGGGGGAGAGTGGGAAAAGGCCGACAGGGGTGGGGGCCTTTGCACGTCGGCAGCTCCGGCCCTTCCCATCAGTGCCCTGTACTCCGCCTAATGGTCAGTCTAGAGCAGCGTGCGCATCTCTCTTGGCCCCACTCGCTTCTTCGAGACATTAGAACCCTACCGCCGGAATGCCTGGGCTTGGCCCGGACTTCCCACCTGAATGCAGCCTTCGGGGTGCACCGTGGGTGTGCCCTGGGGCTTGCTGCTCACCCGGCTGCTAGGCCTCACTTTCCTCGTCTGCACAAAGGAGCCAGCGCCCACACCTCCCACAGAGCTGCTGTGAGTAGGAAGCCAGTCATCCTTTGTTGCTTGCGATCGTGGCACTGATGCCAGGTCTGACTCCCCCAGTTCATCAAGGCCCTACCCCTTATCCCATACTGAGGTTTCAAACACTTGGGACAAAAACCAGTTTTCTCATACTGATTTCCTCAGTCTCATACTGATTTCCTCAGTCTCCATGCCCCCACTCTTTTTCCTGCCATAACAACGTCAGGTTATATCTCAGCCAGGAGACAGGTGGGGGAAAACCAGGGTGGCTCTTCCCACTCCAGAGCCTCTAACTCTCACCTGTATGCCCAGCCTCATTGGCTCAGACGCCCAACTTCTCAGGGCTCAGGTGGAGCTGGGCATCCAAACGCCCCACAGAGCCCCAACCCCATGCTCCGCCATCTCGTCTTGGTCTGGACTTTGCTCGCTCACATCCACAGGGACGGACGGCATCTCACTCTCTTTTATGGTGCTGCTGAGTTCTGTGACACTGGTTGTCTCACCTGTAGCATGAGGGACCTGGTGCCATAGCTGTATGATCCTTGCGTGGTCAACCTGCCATCATCCGATCCCTCGAATTCCACGCGGATGGTATGTCCTCAGGTTGGAACACGCCTGCTCTGCACACTTACACCTCCTTTTCTGGCTCCTAGTGTTCCGCGACCTGTGGTTTAGGAGTGAGGAAGAGGGAGATGAAGTGCAGCGAGAAGACCTTCCAGGGAAAGCTGATAACCTTCCCAGAGCGAAGGTGCCGCAACATTAAGAGGCCAAACCTGGACTTGGAAGAAACCTGCAACCGAGGGGCCTGTCCGGGGTACAGTGTGGCAGCTGGATGGTATTCATCGCCATGGCAACAGGTGAGTGCACACACATTTATGAGGTTTCTATTTAAGTGAGACTCAAAAGGAGGCAGTCCACCAGGGGCTGCTGTTAGAGACCTGTCCACAGGTACAAAATAAAGGGCTTACGTTCCTTGGCCCACCTACCGCCTGCGTGGCCTGAAAGGTTACAGAATCTGTGGGCCTCAGTTTTCACATCTAAAGCAGTGAGAAGACACCTTGCAAGGTTCTGCAAGGTTTTTTTCTTGAGTAAATAAGATAATACAAAGCACTTAGTGCCTGGCTTGTCACTTGGTGCTAATGTTCACATTTGTCACTGCTATTAAATCGACTGCTAGCGTCATCTGCCTTCTAAAAGTCACAGTCTTGACTCATTTGGTTCTTATGTTTACAAATAATATTATAATAATAGTCAACATTTGTCAAGCCATTGCTATACACTGTGCTAAATGCTTTATGTGCATTCGCTATTCTCTCACTTCATCCTTTTAACAGTCTAATTGTGGATATTCTTGTCCCTACTTTGTAGAGGAGGCAGCAAAAACTCAGAGTTAGGCAGTTCAGCCAGGGACCCCCAGCTTTCTCACCTCATTATACATTCGTGCCACCGTCTTCCTCAGAAGACTTGGGTGAAGTGTTGGTCACAGCAGCTGGTGCTCACAGCAGCTGGTGCTCACTGGTAGGAGTATGGGACGCTGTCTGAGAGAACAGCAGGTCCTCGGGAATCCGAAGCTGCCTTTTGGGCCGGGCAGCGTTCCAGCCAGCAGCGGTGCACAGCTGTGCAAAGGACTGACTCGAGATGCTGCCCACAGCTCCCCGTGAAGTGTAGGGGTGGACGAGGACCTGTGTGTCTGTATGTTTATATCCACACACTTTCCTGCATAGATATGCACACGTATGCATATGTGTTGGAAATACACAGGCATGTATACAGTTGGACAACATGGCTTTGAATTGTACAGGCCTACTCACGCGTGGATCTTTTCAATAATCACTGGAAGTGTATTTTCCTTATGATTTTCTTCATAACATTTTTCTCTGGCTGACTTCATCATAAGAATATAGTATACATACATATAAAGTACCTATTTAATTGATTCTGCTATCAGTAAAGCTTCCGCTCAACAGTTGGCTATCAGGAGTTAAGGTTTGAGGGGAGTCAAGATTATACATGGATTTTCAACTGCACAGGGTGTGGACACCCCGAACCTACGCTGTTCCACAGTCAGCTGTGTGTGTGTGTGTGAGTCTGGGAAGTGCACACGGAGAAGGGAAGTCACATGATGCGCTCTCTCCAGATTGGCGGGCGCTGTGTCTCTGTGCTCGCCTGTGTTGCAGGTGCAATACCTGTAGCTATGGATTGCTTTTTAAATTTTTTATCATTATTTTACTCATTTAACAGATTTGGAAATTGATTTTCATATGATTATGTAGATCAGTAAAGCATCGCCAGCATGCCAAATCTATGGCCCATAAAAGTTAAATGATAGTAAAATAAAAATGATAATATAGTGAAATTTAAAAAGCAAAATCAAAGCTAATCAATTTAAAGGTTTTTTTCCCTGACAATATTTTCTTATTTGTTATGAAATCTTTGTTAATCTTTGTTATTTTGTTCAGAAACACATGAAAATGTAAGAACGCTAACAGCCCTTGTTAGTCATTTATTTTTTTTAGGAAAACACTAAATGGACAGTCATAACGCTGACCGCTGGGAAGCAGCGTATCCACCCTGCTAACCAGGAACTCGGCTGGGCACTGAGGCCTTGGTTCCAGAGCCCCTTTGAGTATCGTTTCTTTTGCTGCCCTCGCTTTGAACTACCCCCTCCACCACTGCGTCTGCAGAGGTTACTTGGAATTCTTTACGTACTGTGATTAATTGCCTAGATGTGTCTGTATTTGTTTCCGCATTCTTAGGGCAGCTTCTGTATTTCTGGAAGCTCTCCTCTCTCTGAGCCACTTAACGGGGAGAGACACACTCTTGGGTGAGCAAGCATTAGCCTACGACCCTTCTAATCAGGCCAAATGGCTCCCACATGTTAGAAGAGTCTGTAGATGGTGAGCACACGTACCTGGCTCTGGACGATTCATTTTGTCAACAGGCACCTTGGTAATGTCGTAAAGCCTGGAGGTCCTCCAATGGCACTGACACTAAAAGGAGGCCGTCCAGCTGAGTGTTCCTGACTCCCTCCTCTGCTCCCTGCTCTGCAGTGCTCCGTGACCTGTGGAGGCGGGGTCCAGACCCGGTCCGTGCACTGTGTGCAGCAGGGCCGGCCTTCTGCCAGTTGTCTGCTCCGACAGAAACCTCCAGCGATGCGAGCCTGTAACACCAACTTCTGCCCAGCTCCTGAAAAGAGAGGTAAGGAGGAGTCCACACTCCATCAATTTTACTAGTCTTCAGACAATGTTTCAAAAACCGCCCCCATTTGCTTGTGCAGTGTAATGTGCTCCACTCCTCTAGGGGGCGCCCTTCACATCCATGAGAACCATGCTCCTTGCAGGTGTAGAGGCATAAATCCAAGCAGTTCCTGCTCAGAATGATCTCATATGCAGGGAGAGTTAATTATATAAGGCTTTTTAGTCATCAATTCTTACTTCGAAAGGGAGAAATGGTAATCTTGCCAGTCCATTTTTCCAAACACATGGAAAAGTAAGCGCCAGAGATTGTACTAATCAGCGGGAATGCAAGCGTAAACAGGCATTGCCCTCAAGGAGCTCACATATTAGTTGAGAAGATAAGTTAATTACAGACAATTAGAGTGAACATGGGTTGTCCTAGGACTACGGCTTAAATGTTTTCTTAATCCAAAGGCTGTGCAGCGAGTACTGAGGGGAAAATGGGAAATTCCGTTATCCAGGTAGGCTCCGCCACTCCTCACCAGTACAACTTCTTTCCAAGCAATCGAACAGCATATTTTTCTCAGCCTAATCGGATTTCCTTGGGCTAAAGAATCATGTATCTGCTGAGTTGTCTTTTTATTTAATCACAGCTTTTCCAAGACCATCCAGTCTTTTACCCTATGCTCTCCAATTTGTGGTGAATCAGATTCAGGACTCTGACTCAATTCCTATCTCTCTCTCCATTGTTGTTTACCTACTTCTCCTACAGCCTTTGCTCTAGGCTCTGGGCATCACTTTCCCTTCCTCTGCCCTCCCCCAATCTTATCTGAGGCTAACACAAGACCAGAAAGCTAGTAATAAGCAGTTGCTCCGAGCCAGGCCACCTCTAGACAATGCCGGAATTCTACAAACCTGCAGCCTTTCTCAGCAGAAAGCTAAAGAGTGGGGGGGTCATATGCACATTCCTAGACCATCTCCTCCTTTCTTCACTGTCAGTGATTTCAAATTTCCACTGTGTAATCAGATGGCTCCAGATGCAATCACACATACAAAGATTGCAGGAACCTGGTCAGCCAATGCCAGAGCTACCTTCTATTCTGAGTGGCTGGGAGCTAATGGCAAGTTTGGGGTAGAGGCATTACAGGAACTGGCTTAAGGATCACGGGGGTCACTATGAGGCAGGATGTGTGTGTTAAAGGGAATTTTAGGCAGAAGAATGAAGGCTTGAAGAACTAACCTTCAGCAGCTCCGAATCATAGAAAGGGAGGCTACCATCGGGAGCAGCAGGAGAGCTGAGAGTTTTGCATGCTGTGACCAAAGGCACTGTGGAGAGCCATTAGAGGAGGAACTCGGAAGGCACTTGAGTAGATGCCCGTGGGTAATGAGGGCTTTTGTGGGAGTTGAAGGTACAGGCAACTCAAGGCTTGCATAGAGGAGGGGAGAACCATCCCAGCTATGAATGAGAATAATGACATAGCGGGTAGACCCCAAATATTAAATTCTTGACAATCCAGTACAACGGCTGGGCCCTAACTCCTCAAACATGTGTTATGTTTACATGAAGAACATCTTACTTACAATTTCATATGCATTGTGTGTCTCACAAGGCCCCTCTGGATCAGAATCCCTGATGTACGGCGTCCTACTTCCAATCAATAATCCCATCTGCTGTCCTGCTTAAAGAAGTTAGAAAGGACTGGTGTTGACTTACATTTACTTAGTTGCAAATTGGCTATGAGATTTACTTAAAACCACACAGAGTGTTGCAGCTGGGTCTCCAATACAGGTGTCCCAACTCCCAGTACATTGGCTTCTTGTTCCCCAAAGTAATCTGCACAGACCAGCAGCAGCATCCGCTGTGTGCTTGTTAGAAGTACAGGACCCCAGCACTCAGCAGAGACCTTCGGAACCAGAACCAGTGGTTTCACAAGATCCTCCGGTGATTTTAAATGTGCTGGTCTAGGTACTTCCCTTGGGTGCAAAATGCATGTCCCAGGCTATTTGGGGAGGATCAGATCATCTCTAACTAGAGATGACCTTTTGTCTTAATATCCATAATATTCGCTTTTCTCCCACCTGTTTAAATTTTGCTAAGGGTCATAGTCCCTTTTGATGTCTGAATGCTGCTTTCCCCACCTTCCTGCGAAAGTCCTAATGGATAAGAAAAAACACTCAGAAGCACAGGCAGGTGGATACGAGGCCTTTGATCTGCAGGATTTCACCTTAAGAAAAGAGACTGAGCCTTTTCCTAACACACTAAATCTGTTTTCTCATCTTAGAGGATCCAGCCTGTGTGGATTTCTTCGGCTGGTGTCATCTAGTCCCTCAACACGGTGTCTGCAACCACAAATTCTACGGCAAGCAGTGCTGTAAGTCCTGCACGAGGAAGAGCTGACACCACCCGGGCTCACCTTCCAGGTCCAGGACTGCTGACGGCCGCGGCAGCTCACCAGTGGTCTGCAGCGTTGAGGGGCCAGCTCCGAAGAACAGGTGGGCTTCTCTTCCAGTTCCCCCGAGCACATGGTACTCTGAAGCACTTGAAAATGGGAAGCGACGACAAATCTGACAGAGAACAAATGAAAACAGTGTGGATTTGCACTGTGTGCATGGAAGCAGTGATGAGTCACCCTGAGACAGGTCAACTTTTAGTTTTGTCCAAGTGAGAATCCGGCCACCTTTGGACACACTCCCCTTGGAATCTGAAAGTTACGACTTCAGGTCATAGGCTGAGAGCTGGAGGAATCAGACACGGACGGGACGTTTACTTGGAGCTCATGGCAGGGCTTGCCGCTGGACTGGCAAGCGTCACGTTATGTTCATGTAGTGTGCGAGTGTGTTTATCATTTTGTTTAAAGTGTATTCTGCTTAGAGAGAGTCTTCAAGACTAAAATTCACAACTTGAAAAGGATTATTCTAAAAACACAGCAACACGGACTATTTAAGATTGCTGTTTAGTTGAAATTCACCCTCTGGGGATAAAAAAAAAAAGCTCATAAGAAGGGTGAATATTAACGCCCCGCACATGATATCAACCTCGTAACTTTTGGTGCTAGACAGGATCTTCTAGTCTGCTCTTTGGGAATCAGAATTGGTGAAATGTTTATTTCTGGTAAAAATCTAGGAAGAGTTAAATAGCAGTGTGCTGAAGGAGAGGAGACCATTATTTGTAATGCTCCCTACTTATTATCATAGCTGCTTGGAAAATTAAAGGCCACTTGTGGGCTTTTTTCCTACCAACTGACATGTTTAAATTTGCCCTAGGATTTAGTTTACAAGAAAAAAGTCATAGTGGCAGTAGCAAAATCCATCTGTCTTCTTGCTACATTAATACTAATAAATCATAATATGGCAAAACCGTTCAGTGAATGAGTATTTTCCAATCTTTCAGATGATATTTTCAGTCTTCAAAAGCCCGCTGTCGGTTGGCACTAATGAGCTTAAAATTGTCCTCAATTGCAAAAACACCACACTAATTTGCCAAAACCAGAGTAACTTACAAGACTGAGTCCTCCTGTAATTTTTGGAGCTGTGGTCATAAAGGATGTATTTATATAAATTCTACTCTATTCCTCAAGTTTTTGATGAATGTAACCCAGTTTTACGGCTTTAAAAAGTTTGATTCAAACAGGGGTTTGCCAGCTCAGCACAACCGACCGAGGAGACGGCGGTCTGTTAAACTCGGGGTGTCCTTTGTCCCCTCTCAAACTTCCGATGGGTAATTAGGATACTGTCTCAGCTCTCTTGGCCTAGAGTAGTGGTCATTTTATCACCAGAAAAACGATTTATACATCACCACCCTTGAAAAATTACAAGTTATTTGTTTCTTTATATAATTATCATTTTATTATTTTATGGAGAAATTAATTTATTAATAGCCTATTGTTATGTGTTCTCACTTGCTTCTCTGAGTGATATTAATTCTGAGGAAAAGTGTTGAATAAAACCATGGGTTATGGAGAAAAGTCAAAATATATGTATAATATTTAATTATTTTATAAGTTTTATAATAAAGTGTTGTTTCTTTATCTTTGAAACTTGTTATGTTCTTGAATAAATTAGTGAGAAGTCAGTTATTTCCAAGGTGATTTAACTGCATAAGTGATAAGTTGAGAAATTTTTAGGGGTAGAGATATTAATGAATTTTCCTGTTTGATAGTTTTTAATTTTATCATATACAAGCACTGAGATGAAATAGATGACATATTTACTGTTTTATATGGACACTAAATTATTTTCTTCTGCTCTAATGATCATGTAAACATTTATGGAAATCATCCGAGTTAGCTAAATCTCTAGTAAAATTGTTTTGCAAAGAGAAAAAGGAAGGAAGGAAAAAAAAACCCCTAAATAACGGACCAGAAATAAACCCACGCCTATATGTTCCATTAATCTACGACACAGGAACACCCATTATATAAAGACAGTCTCTTCAGCAGTGTTGGGAAAACTGGACAGATACAGGCAAAATATTGAAATGACCACTTTCTTACACCATGTACAAAAGTAAACTCAAAATGGATTAAAGACTGAAATGTAACCCCCAAACCATAAAACTCCTAGAAGGAAACGCAGGGGGTAAATTCTTTGACATCACTCTTAGTAACATTTTTTGGATATGTCAAGCAAATAAAGAAAAAAATACACATCAAACCAAAATGTTTTTGCACAATGAAGGAAACCAACAAAATAAAGAAACCTACTAAATGAGAGTGATACCTCTGGTAAGGGGTTAATAACCAAAATACATATATTAAAAAAAACACACAATTTAACAGCAGAAAAAAAACCCAAACAATATGATTGAAATATGGGCAAAGGACCTGAAAGACACTTCTCCAAAGAGGATGCACAGATGGCTGCTAGACATATAAAAAGACAACATCATGAGAGAAATGCAAATTAAAACAATGAGATATCACTTTATACCAGTCAGAATGGCTGTCATCAATAAATCCATGAACAAGTGCTGTTGAGGACGTGGAGTGAAGAGAACTCTTGTACACTGTTGGTGGGATTACAAACTGGTATGGCCACTATGAAAAACTGGGGTTTCCTCAAAAATTAAAACCAGAACCGCCGTACTGACCCAGCAGTTCCACCTCTGGGTATTTATCTGAAGAATTCCGAAGCACCAACTTGAGAAGACATGTGCACCACACATGCACTACAGTACTGTTCACAGAAGCCAAGATGTGGAAGCCACCTAACCGTCCGACAATGGATGGGTGGGTAAAGAAGTGGTGTGATGGAATATTACTCAGCCATGAAAAATAATGGAGTCTTAACCTTTGGGACAGCTTAGATGGACCTAGGGGATATTATGCTAAGTGAAATAAGTCAGAGAAAGACAAATGTGGAATCTAAAAAACAAAATGAACAAACAAAACAGAAACAAACTCATAGATACAGAGAACAAACTGATAGTTGCCAGACAGAAGGGAGTTTGGAGAATGGATAAAAAAGGTATGCAATACATTGGCAGTTAAACAGCCCCCAGAGTGGGAAGCACAGTGAAGGGAATACAGTCAATAATGTCATAATAACCATGTGTGGTGCCAGATGGGTGTCAGACTTATGGGGGTAATGACAATAAATGACATAAATGTCTAAACACTGTGTTGTACACTTGAAACTAAATCAATATTGTATGTCAACTACAGTTAAAAAACAAAAAATATTTTTAAAAGATAAAAGAATAGAAAATCGGAAAGCAAAAAGAAATTTGCATATGTTCCCCTGGCTGGTACAGGTGGCAAGCACAAGGCCCGTGGGCCAAACCCGACCCTCCACCTTGTTTTGTCCAGCTCTGCGCCCTGTTTCTGCCTGGCAGCGGTGCTGAGCTCTCGCTTAACTGTTAAGGAGCAGTTACAGTCATGCAGTCCTAACATTACATTCAGCTCTTTGAAGGCAACCTGGAGGCTGATGTGGCGCCCAGTGAAGATGAGTTTGACGCCCCTGGCCTGAGGGAAAGGCGATGGGCTGTGACTGCAGATAAAGCTGTGTCTTCAACCCCAAAAGAAACGATCTTGAAAAAAAATCAAAGAAGTAGAGCTTCATTTACAAATTCTAATTCTAAAGGGTGGGCCCTGCCCCAGTTTAGCTCTGGTGAATTCATTAACCAGAATGCAGTATTTCACAGTCCCCTACCTATAAACTTCTAAAATTTGTACATAATTGTGCCAGACTCAGGATCATTCTGGACCATGATTACAGATTTTATATACAATCCTCTTTATTGACTACTATACCAAATCCTTGTGTAATTATCACTTTCTTTTCCTATGAAACATTCAAAGTCTTTTTAAAAACGAAAAGAGCAATTTTTCTCAGGTTTTTCAAAATTTGAGTCATCAGACCAAGAGAGAATAAAATCGTCCAGGCAAAGTGAATCCAGTTGACCTGAATAAAAATATTTTTCCCCGAATATATGATTACATATATTTAATATGTAAATCATTTATGCATACATAATTTTAAAATATATTTAACAGGACTTTATATGAATTACTGCTAATTGGAAAACATAATAAAAAGAAATTCGGTTAAAGATGAAAAATGGTATAAATGGCAGAAAGGAGTGTCTTTACACAATTAGGTAATAAAATATTATTAATATTAAGTAACCATATACTTGTGCTTACTGGGTACCAAGCACTGTGCTAATAAGCTCTTTACATGTTATCTCATTTAATCCTCACAACAGCCTGCTTAGGAAGACAGTGTACTCTTCCCCTTGGGGATGAGGACTCTGGATTCAGACATTTGGCCCAGAGGCACATGGCCATCAAGTGATGGGTTGGGGTTCAAACCCAGGTCATCTGGTCCTCTCCTGTCACTGTGCTGCATTGCCCTGGGAGAGCTGAAATAAAAAGGACCTGTAGTCCTCAGAACTCCGTGCGTGTGAAGAGGATCAGTAACCAGATGGCCACTGGTGGTGAATTATGGGCGGAGCTGGATGGCTTCAGATGGGGAATTGGGAACGGGAGGCCATGAATTCCCACTTAGCTGGTCTTCTCAGTACAGGATACTTACAGACTCATTGCATAACTGTCTTTACCCCCTAATAACTGCTTCTGTCTGGAATGATAGTGTTGTTTCCTGAGCAACAGAATCTCAGAGACTGAAGCCTACAATGTCAAGTCCATTAGCATTGGGAGAGAGCCAGTAAGAGGGAGTGAGGAACAGCGCCCTTGGTCTGGATTCTATATGCCAACTGGAGGGAAGGATGACCTCACAGCAGTGTGTACCACACAAGGAATGGTTAAGGAATTAATAGCACAGAACCCGTTATTTATTGCTCAATGCAGTGAAGAAAAGGCCATTTACTTAAGTTCTATTCTGTTTACTTTAGTAATGAAAAGCATATGCTGTAAGTCCTCAATGTCATCAATAGGTTCTGTGACATTAAGTGAATGACAGGCTTATAGACATAACAGGAGTCCAGTTCCTACAGCATCTCGCCAATGTTACAACAGAACTGTGTTGAATGAAATGGTAGCATTGGAGAACCTGCTGGATATGAAAGGCATGTTTTGTCTGCCTTACCTTATCTTTCCCAGTAGATCTTAAGTCCTCGAACACTTCCACGGCTTCAGCTGGTACTAAGGATCTTCACTTGATTGAAGTACCTCCCATCAGCGCCCCCGGATCTGGGTCATCGTGTGTCCCCTCCAGAGAGACTGCAGGCAGAGTGATGCTGGAACGGCTGTCACTCATTACTCCCACCTTCAGTTTCCCTGCAAACAAGCACCAAACACCCCTGCTGAATTTCTCACTTACTGACTTAAGTAAATAATTGTTTCATCTAGTAAAATATTATTGAAAAAACAAGTTTATTATTAAAGTAATTTTACATGCTTTAAAAAATTTTTTATTGTCAATGAATTACAGTAAACTTTTAATAACTCCTTTAAATGCAAAATCTGTATTATTTGCCATAAATAGAAAGTAGCTATAAAAGTACTAAATAATATTAACATTTAAGTTAATTTTAATTAAAAATAAAATATTGTCACTATAATGGGTTTACAGAATGCATACTGAAAAAACCCTCAGTGAGGATTAGTAAACCGAGTGTATCTCCTCAGGAACATTCCACTTAGCATCACTGAGCTTACGATAAAGATGGAATTTCCTGTCAAATAAGATTATTTTAATCTTGAGTCCCAATTTATATCTGTACATAGGAAAGGCATATTACATTTATTAACTGTACCTTTGCTGATAGAGTTAGACATTGAGAGTCACTGACACTGAGTTAGGCAGTGACTTTGGTTCAACAAATTTTTGTGCATAGAGAAGCCGTCAGGAGCAATACCCACAACAGAGTTCTCCGAATGTGTCCAGTTATTTGTTGTTTCTGCAGCATAATGCCAAGTCTCCTTGCCCACCCACAACCTCCATTGTGTGTGAATAGTATGAAGAGAGTCTTTGAGGTACATCCAAGTGTTTTCCTGAACTGTGATTAGTGATGGTCACGGTTGAGTTCATAGACCATTCAGTACCAAAAAGCAATTTACATATTGTCAGTTCACTTAATGGACAAAGGACGTGCAAGGAGTGTTTCCAGCACCCTAACTGGGTTGAGAAAGAAGCACCAATGTCTAGGAAAAAGAAATCCTGTAGGCCGTGTCTGCCCAGGCCCCTCTGTTCCTTTCTACCCCTCTTCTCTTCCTCCCTGCACTGCCCTGGCCTCCCCGCCAAGGCTGCCTCTGCCCACACAGGTCAGATCGCCTGCCAGGACCTAGTGTGGCACCGCAATGCCCATGCCACATGCTGGCAAACTGCTCCGGGTGAATACTTGGTACTCCTGAACCCTCTATGGCCATGGCCAACAGCCTTTCTAAAACCAGTGCGCAATACGAAAGGTAGCACTTCCGCTGGAATAAGCGAGCAATCAGAGCCCTCGGAGCAGATG